TGAAACTGCAGCAGCAGCAGCAACTGCTGCAGCAGCAGTAACTGCAGCTCCCTTTGATGCTGTTAATCCTGCATAATGCACATGCATATGCAGTACTAATCACATTCCTGCATTTCCCATAAATATGCTAAATTCCTTTTGATATGCAAATTCCTTTGTCAATGCGCCCAGCTTATATATATGCTCAAAGCTCGTGTGCTGTTTCATTCAGACTCTGTCGCCTCGACGGACCTGGTTTTCACCTGAGGACGGCTGCTTGCGTTGTGGCCGAAACGTCGTGAGAATTGTTTTATTATGTTTTTTTTTATTACTTTATTACTTCCCTTCTACGTGACTTTACCGAAAGAACCAAGAAGATAAATTTTGAATTGTTCTTAATAAAAAAAGGGTATAGACACAACAAATCTCTTTTTGCATGGTTAATCACATCTTTCCAATGATTACTCAGTTTGTAACCATCATCACGGTTGAAATTATGTCTGTGTTTGTATATTTGTATGGCTTCGTGTACAAACCTTTGATGGTAGCCAGGAGGTTTGCAGAGAACCTTGGTCTCGGAAAAGACAATTTCATGAGAGCCCACCGAGTTGTAGCAATGATCGGCAACGGCCGAAGAATCAGTTCTGCCGTGTTTCAGATCTGACTTGTGCTCGTGGACACGATCAGAGACATGACGTTTCGTTTCTCCAATGTAGCAATCACCACAAATGCAACTCAATTTGTAGACTCCAGGATACTGTAAGTCAGGAACGACATCCTTCACAGATGGAATCAGATCACGGATTTTATGCACTGTATTGAATCGGACTTGGATCTTATGTTTGTTTAGAATTTTGGAGATCTTTTTGGTCACGCCTGCTATGTATGGTAACGTGATAGTTTTGGTCGGAGTTTCATGTGGCTGTTTCTGTGTGGTGGGAGAAACAGCTTGGCGGATAGTGCGGTCAGAGTATCCGTTCATCCTGAGGGCCCGATGTACATGTCTTAATTCACCGGCCAGGTGGTGTTGGTCAGAAATGCCATGGGCTCTGTGGTATAGCGTTTTGATGAGAGAATTCTTTTGAGATGGGTGGTGGTGGGAATCCGGTTTCAAGTAGGAATCTGTGTGGGTGGCTTTCCTGTAGACAGAATGTCCCAAGGATCCGTCAGGCCTCCTCTCAAACAGAATATCCAAGAATGGTATTTTACCGTCTTTCTCCACTTCCATGGTGAATCTGATGGATGGGTGTCTAGAATTGATGTGGTCCAAGAAGTGGTTCAATGCTGGGAGGCCATGTGGCCAGATGACGAAAGTGTCATCCACATACCTCTTCCACAGGGAAGGACGCAGGGTGGATGTCTGGATGGCGTCTGATTCAAACTTTTCCATGAACATGTTGGCTATAACTGGTGACAAGGGGGAGCCCATAGGGGTACCCTCCATTCTGTTTGTAGAAGGTGCCATTCCAGGTAAAATAGGTGTTGGTGAGGCAATGCCTAACCAGCGCAGGTACATCAGAATTCAATCCATGTTGGTCTAAGTCCTCAATTATTGTTAGGGTGTCCGGTACTGGGACTTTGGTAAACAAAGATACTACATCAAAGCTGACGAGGATGTCATCAGGAGATAGTATCATGTCCTTAACCATAGAGACTAATTGGGTTGAGTTGAGTACTGCCGAAGAGGTCTTGCCTGTGAAGGGAAGCAGAGTATCTGATAGAAAACGGGCTAGTTTGTACGTAGGAGAGTTTGTCGTCGACACGATGGGTCGTAGCGGGGTGCCTTCTTTATGGATTTTGGGAAGACCATAGAGTCTGGGAGGTCTAGCCGCCGATGGTTTTAGAGAGGGACGTTTGCTTGGTTCGATTAGGGAAGTCGAACTCGTGATGATACTGTTGGTTTTTGTCGTTAGGCTTTTCGTGGGATCGTTTTTAATTTTGGAGTAACTCCCATCATTAAGAAGGTCCAGGATTTTGTTGTTGTATGAATCTTTATCCATGATGACCGTGGCATTGCCCTTGTCTGCCGAGAGGATGACTATATCATCTCTCTTTTTTAGGTCCGCGAGTTCAGAGCGTTCGTTTTTGCTGATGTTACTAGTGGGTTTCTTAGCATTCTTAAGAATAGTAGCTATTTCAGCTCTTGCTACATCCGCATGGATGTGTCCTATGCCTCTGAGGGCTACATCACCCATCCATCAGATTCACCATGGAAGTGGAGAAAGATGGTAAACTACCATTCTACCATTCTTGGATATTCTGTTTGAGAGGAGGCCTGACGGATCTTTGGGACATTGTCTACAGGAAAGCCACCCACACAGATTCCTACTTGAAACCGGATTCCCACCACCACCCATCTCAAAAGAATTCTCTCATCAAAACGCTATACCACAGAGCCCATGGCATTTCTGACCAACACCACCTGGCCGGTGAATTAAGACATGTACATCGGGCCCTCAGGATGAACGGATACTCTGACCGCACTATCCGCCAAGCTGTTTCTCCCACCACACAGAAACAGCCACATGAAACCCCGACCAAAACTATCACGTTACCATACATAGCAGGCGTGACCAAAAAGATCTCCAAAATTCTCAACAAACATAAGATCCAAGTCCGATTCAGTACAGTGAATAAAATCCGTGATCTGATTCCATCTGTGAAGGATGTCGTTCCTGACTTACAGTATCCTGGAGTCTACAAATTGAGTTGCATTTGTGGTGATTGCTACATTGGAGAAACGAAACGTCATGTTTATGATCGTGTCCGCGAGCACAAGTCAGATCTGAAACACGGCAGAACTGATTCTTCGGCCGTTGCCGATCATTGCTACAACTCGGTGGGCTCTCATGAAATTGTCTTTTCCGAGACCAAGGTTTTCTGCAAACCTCCTGGCTACCATCAAAGGTTTGTATACGAAGCCATACAAATATACAAACACAGACATAATTTCAACCGTGATGATGGTTACAAACTGAGTAATCATTGGAAAGATGTGATTAACCACGCAAAAAAGATTTAACTACACTTATTTGGCCAATCTTATTTGACAGACAACTATTACAGGTTATTGATAGACAGCCAGGCTTGTTTTACCATGTTTAGTTGTTTTCTCCTTTTCTCACTATTGTTATGTAGGCCAGGTTTAGTCACAAACCGTACCTCTCCATAACAAAGGCTCACCCTCTTAAGCCTCACCTTACCATATGAATAAAAAGTGTGCCGTACTTGGCCCTTCCCCCCTCTCCAACCATATATACGGAGTGGTAGCTCTTGCAATCTCTCATTTATTTGATACAGCTGTCGTGGCTGTGACGGTTCCACCTGAAGACGGAAGCTTGTGTTGCCTCCGAAACGTCGTGATTTTTATTTTATTTTACTTTTAATGTTTTACCTACGTGACTTTACCGAAAAAGCCTAAGAATATGAATCCTTGCAGTCACGAAAGCTTCAAATCTAGAATCACATCAAAACTGACAAGCAGGTCGTCTGGGGACAGGGAAATTCCCTTGATTGTCGATACCAGGTCAGTAGAGTTTAGTACCGCAGAGGTGGTTTTTCCAGTGAAAGGCCGCAGGATTTCAGACAAAAAACGAGCCAGTCGTTGAGTAGTTCTTGAATTTTGTTGTTTTATTCTATTTTGTCCATGATGGCAGTAGCATTGCCTTTGTCGGCTGAGAGGATGACAATGTCATCCCTATTTTTTAATTGAGCTAATTCAAAACGCTCATCTTTGCTGATGTTACTAGCTGGCATCTTAGCGTTTTTGAGGGTTGCAGCGATTTCAGATCTTGCTACGTCTGCAGCGATGTGACCCAGGCCCTTGAGAGCCACATCTACTCGGGCAATGATATCATTAACTGGTATGTGTCTAGGTGTGACTGCAAAGTTTAGTCCTTTAGCTAAAACGGATTTCAGACTATCAGAAATAGAACTGTTACTGCGATTAATTACGACTTTGTTAACGTCTAGCTTTTCAGTGTGTGGGTCCGGTCTCTTATTTGAGAGGCGGTTGAATTTGGAAATCAAGTTGTCCTTACATTTGGTCGACATAGCGGCAGCTGAAGAGGCAGTCATATTGTCTACATGTTCCCAATCCGATGTGGACATTGTTGCAGTCAAAGATAAGTGTGATTTGTAGAGTGTCTTGTCTAACTGATCTAGTTCGGTGTGCGTAATGCTGATTTTCTCTGAGATAAGAGCTAAGCTAGTTCTAGACAGAATTCGTTTAGCATTAGAGGAAGTTACAGCAGCAGAGGTTAGTGTAAATGCGATTGGTATTACCCCGTGCGAGTTATCAATTTTTATTGTGTATGTGTCATGATGTGATTGCTGTACATGTACCAATCATGCAAACCAGATGTTCTAGCTCAAGGGATTATCCACATGCAATATTTTGATTAAAGATACATACCCCTAAACATACATACACAACAACCAGACAAATATTCCTCATATAGCCTTAACAGACTTTTGGGGCAAATGCTGTTAGCAAGTAGCACCTATGAAGGCCAGAACGGTACATGAGGGAGTGGGTGGCCAGCCCCACGCCCGACTCCTTTTTCTCCCCAGTGGTGATGTTTTTACACACCGCACTAGGTACTCATTTGAGGCTGGGTTGACCTAAGGGAGGCGCAGGACCAGTTCAGGTAATTGTCACTGGTGTTGGCCGTGAGCGGCAATCGGACGCATGTGCTCGGGTTTGTAGCGCAGCGTGCTAACCGTTACACAAGCGTATGCATACATAACAACAATAACCAGCATTTGCCACTAAGTGGCGGTGACGTCACCACGGCGTTTGTCCCAAGCTATGTTCACTTTAAGGCCACGTGAAGTATTGAACGCCCGCTGGCAGGAGAACACGGGACAGACCCAGATGCCATGGGTTGACTGACCGATGCACCACCGATGCACCACCTGTGCCCCATACTGTGCCAACTTGCTGTGTTTTAGCCACCCGGCGCTCTGTTTGTAATATGAATGTTGAGAGTGAGTGCTGGGCCGCCGTCTTCTCTGTGCAGAGTGGCGTACTCCCCGCTCGTCGTGTGCACTTCTTGCCTCGATGCGGAATCCAAGCACGTGCTGAGCTCCGCGCTGCTCGTGCTGGGAGGACATTTCGTCTCCCAATGGACCAGCGACTGCACCCACTTGGTCATGACGTCCATCAAGGTCACCGTGAAGGTAACGGTTCCCGTGCTGGGTTCCATCCACCGCTGGAACCGGTGGGAATGTGACCTGGTAGACTGGTCACACGACAAGGGATGGCGACTTGGCCCTGCATTCGTAGTAATGGCTCTGCTCAGGATTGGCTCTGCTCAGGATTGGCTCTGGTTCTAGTGAGCCGGCACAAAGCCACGCAGTTACATTCTGTCAAATCATGGCTCAGCCGCTCATGCGTTTTTGAAAGCAGCTGAGTGGCTCAAGCCTGAGCCGAGCCGTAACTATGACTTTGGCCCACAGTGTTGATATCATCAACCATTAATTCGCTGCTGGATGACTGCCTCCCCAAGCAGCAACCATCTCTCACGATATTGCAATGTACAAATCTGTCCAGCACCTGTGTGTGAACTGATTTCGCCGCTCCATCTCCTTGGCGGCCTGTCGGAGTTAATTTTCTCGTCATGGAATTCTGCTCAGTTTTGCGAGTGAGCAGTAATATTTTGCCACGATGGCGAGATGTCAACTACCTCGCCCGGTATACAGAAGGCCGTGCATTCGATCCCGACCCTAACGGCTGCTGTATATTTGGAGTTTGCATGTTCTCGTGATTGCGTGGATTTTTCTCCAGGACCTCCAGTGTTTCCCTCCACATTTAGAAACATGCATTTCTAGTATTTGTCTGCTATAAATTTCCACGCGATAAGCCACTTTTGTTGGGCTATGATTCATTGCCAGGTCGCTTCTGAAAAGAAGCTACACAGCTCAAATGGGCCTTACCTGGTAAAATATAAATAGTTTAGTTTTTTAGTGACTGAGTTAAAGCCCATGTACTTGTACAGGAAGAAGCTTTAGATTTTCAGTTGTGCAGATTTTTTAAAACCCATAATCGGCCCATAGCATATTAAAGTTACGTTTGTGAATCCCCTTGTGGTGCCTGCTCGTAATATTCCGTTTGTTTACTCCAGACAGCCTCACCGAGTCTCAAGACTCGTTTTCAGGAGGGTTCCTGCCAAGTTCTCACAGTAGGGAGTAATGTTTCTGCCATGTGTGATACCAATTGAGTAATTTGCAGGATTTGATGTTTCACAGGATGCTGCTTGCACAGGCTGCCAGTGCCTTGTACTGCAATGTACAAAGCCAGGTTTTGCTTGCTCGGCGTGTTCGCATTTGTTCCTTTGGTGAGAGAGATACTCAATCATCCGGGAGAGCCACACTGGGTCATTAGACTCTTTTTCAGGAGGTTCCTGCTGCATTGTTTTTATTTATGTATTTACTTAAATATGTTTCCAGCCAATTTACGATTAATGTTTGTTCCCATAGAGATGTAAACAGATGGTGGTTCGTCCACTTGCTGTACTGCCATCTGGCAAGTCAGGCTATGGCACCTCAACGCCCATGGGAAGGGAGTTCCACAACATCAGTGTTTGAGCCACCAACCCTCGCCGAAAGTGCCGGATTACAGGCCACATGCATAGGCTGGCGGTGGCGCCATCTCATGTGCTTAGTTTACAAATAAATAATTTCTTTAAAGCCCACCAGAAACTTTTTTTGTAGAGGTTCGTGGTTGGAATTTTGCAGGCCGCCCTGGTTAATACTGCGGGTGTATTGATGAAAATATACACATTTGTCTACTTCACAGTGGACATGAGAGTTCCCGCGACGTCATTCCAACAAGAGTAGGTCCAAATACGAAAATTTACCCACAACCCACTCGATTGAGAAACACATCTCTATCCTTGCCCCTACTGAGAAAGTCCAGCAAAACCCACCTATAAAGGTCTTGAGACTCCGTAAGGATTTCCTTGGGTAAATGAGTGGAATAAAAAAAAACTAACCTATTTTTTATTTTACCAGGTTAGTCCCAGTTTTTCAGAAGCGACCTGGCCACAAATGATTGCTCAACGAAGTAGCTTATCACGTGGAAATCTATAGCAGCCAAATACTCTAAACGCGTGGTGTTGATTCTAAATGTTGAGGGAAAAACCGGAGGAACCGGAGAAAAATCCACGGGGAGAGAGACACGCAAACTCCAAATATACAGACATCAGTCGGAATCGAATCCACGACCTCTTGCATACCAGGCGAGGGATTAACATCTCGCCACTGCCACGCCCTCCAAGACAATGAGGGAGAATCCTTCATCGTGTTTTTATCACAGTTGCAATGATGTGTTTTTGTCCATTACTAGAATGATCAGTAAATCCTCAGGGACTTGTGGATAACAAAATTGGCCTTTACGGCTATGGGATTTGTGGATAAGAGGGTTACAAACAAGGGGTGTTCTACCGTACATACTCTTACATCTGTAACAGAGTTAAAACACCGCATGGACATTAACCAATTACCAGGTAATGGTTCAGCATTGGGCTCTTTGGCCAATACCAGTTACATTGTGTCGTGATTATTTAGCAATGGGAGGAAACCGGGGAAGCCCGACGAAACCAATGTAGACGACTCCACAAAGGAAGGCGCCCGTATCGGCAATCAAATTCAGGCCCTTCTGGCTGCGAGGCTTGGGTGTTGTTACCACTGCTCCACTGCTGCTCTGCGGTTCTCTGCCTCGCACCATGGGCATACGAGGCGGTCGTGCGGGTGGTGGCGGTGGAGTAATGGGCGTGTGGTCCCGTGTTTGCTGTGCTCTGCCACAGACGATCTGCGCCCTCATCACGAGCATCCCCATCGTGCAGCCGGCGTTCTTCTCCACGCTCGTCACGGCCATCAGGAGCCGCTCGCCACAACCCAGCCACAGCAGGTGAGGGCCCACACACTGCCTTCGCTGTCTCATAATTCATTCCCTACCCACCACTCCCGGTGTGCACCCCACCCACAAAGACAAAGATCCCCCATATAGCAAACTAGCGGGAAGTACCCGGCTTTGCCCCGGCGAAAAAGACACACACATCGACTTAGACACATACACAGACATCGACCCACACACACAAACACATCGACTTAGACACATACACAGATATGGACTCACACGCACAGACATCCACTTTAGATACACACACATGGAGTTACACACACAAATCGATGTACACACATACAGCGACTCGCACACATACGTAGACTCTCACACACACATCGACCTAAGCACACATATGGATTTACACACACATATCGACTAAGAGACACACACATGGACTCACACACACAACATTGACTTACACACACATGGACTAACACACATACATCGACTGACACACATAGACACACACACACACACATGTGTAATAAAAGGACTCAGACGCTTCTCGCTGACTCCGTGTCCTTTATTTGGGGTTCGCGTTTTCCTTCCCACACGGCACTCCTCCTGAGACTCTCTCCCTGGCAGCCCCACATCTGCCTTCGCTCCCGTAGCCTTCCACGCTCCTGCAGTTCCGCTGCAGGCTCTTGGCACAGCCCTCTGGCTGCTCCCCCAGCAGCTCCATCGCTGCTCCCTGTTCCTCCGTGCGTGGCGATCTCGCCACCTCCCAATGTCAGCCCTTCGTGGCCTCTATGGCTATCTCGCCATTTCCTACCTCAGCCCTTCGTGGCCTCTGTGGCTATCTCGCCACTTCCTACCTCAGCCCTTCGTGGCCTCTGTGGCTATCTCGCCATCTCCAACCTCAATCCTCCACTCTCCCTTCCACCCCGCTGGCTGGCGCCGTCATGAGCCCCTCAGCCACCAGGCTGAGGCACGGCGACCACCCAACGTGTTCACCACCCTTCACTCCCCCGACTCCCCCGACTGACCCAGATAGCTTCCTGTCTCCCCGCTATAACTTCTCCCCCACGTCACCCTGACTCCTCCCTCTCGGATCGTCATATCCGCCCCGCCCATTTACGCCCGCATTACACTACCCTCCCCCGTAGAGAAAATCCCAGCCGTCCTCGGCTGAAACAGAACAAAATAATGCGGGCGAAGGCATCACAATCAGGAGTCCCCCAGACACAACGGAGATTATAACAACAACAACACAAGCAACGAAAGGGGAGGTATCAGGAACTGGAACAGAACACCGGCCTGTCCTCCGCACAACAACAACAAGAATAAGAATGGCACAATGAACAAAAACGGCAACTGACACGCAAGAACGGCCAACGCGCACAACCCAGAAATGTGATGTTTTAGTGCGTGTCCATGTTGCAGTTCCATCCGCTCGGCTCAAGTCCAACGTCAAAGAGCAAGTGGTAGAGCAGAATGACGAACGGCGCTCAATTGCTCCTTCAAGTCCTCATCCAGCTAGCACACCAGGTAACACCCAGTGCGACGGGAGCTGAAGAATCTGTGACGAGAAGGAGAATCCAATCCCCTGAGGCACAGCACAACAACGCACATCCGCATGTCGTACACGACAGCCACCCGGCCTCAGGGTAGTGGAGATGATGTAAATCCAGCCCGCTTAAAAAAAACTCCCCATAAATACCCAAAATAAACGCAATGGATGCCCCAGTATTTACATTTTAACAACAATATTATTTACACGTAACAACAACAACAACAAAATTTCCTGCTCTTGCCCACCAGCAGTCCTCCCTTGAGGACCAGCACAGACATCGCACGTACACAGCATGTACCCACGGTCACCTCTCAGCAACCCAACAAAACACCTAATCACACCACCCTCGCGTGGAGAGAGCCACGCTCCCCAGCGGTAACGTTTAACTCGCCCTAACCCCCACCGTGGTCGTCAACCCACAGCAACATCCACTGACCATACTCTCAGCTAGTGCAATTTCGGGGATGAGCAGCAACTCGGCCATGCTCCTCCCTTACTATCCCATCAGAGATGGACACACACCAGCCTCGTATAGTCCGATGCTTTATAGCCCAGGGAAGGTTCATCCCCCAGCAATGCCAGACCCCCATGTACTCCCCCCACGGGGCAATGTTCCCTTATAGAGACAATAACACCCTAACCCAGATCCCGTGAGCCCCCGGCACACCAGGTTCAGTCTGCCACCGCACAACTGAACCATGACTCCCCGAGCCATATGAGCACATGGCCCATTAGTTAAGACATACCACGGAGGTTTCGCCTCCGGGCTGTCAGGTCAGCCATCAGCCATAGGCCGATGTGACCACAACTCGTGCATCACCCAATCAACAATGGCAGGCATAACAGATGGAATATTTGCCCCACCCCGGTTTTTTCCGCGCGCTCAAAATGGCGTCCCCCTTCGCCCAGCGCATTCGCGCAATATCTCGCGCGCACATCAAAATGGCGGCCCTTTCCGCAAAGCGCATCGTCGCCATACCCCGCGTGCGCGCAAAATGGCGGCCCAACGTGCGAACACGTGGCCAGAAAATGGCGGCCCAACGTGCGAAGCACGTGGCCAGTTTTCTCCATTCGTGCACCCCAGCTTCCCTATGCTGGGGGTCACAAAATGCATCCCCGTCTATTGTAACAACCCCAACAACGATAGACGCACAGCCCCAGCTTGCTGCGCACAGCTGTCATATCGTGGAATTTTTAACCAATATTTTACCAACCACATTAGTTACACAACCCAACTCGCAAAGCAACTCGTGGCTGCATGCAATCAACCAATACACGACGCCACTTGGCGCCCATTTACGATCCCATTAGCATTAACATCTAAGCCACCCACAATGGCGTCATCGCGCACCCTCATTTTCAAAAAGCTCAATTACCCCTATAATATACACGCAATCTCGTGTGCACAACACCCATACAACCAAAATTTTGGGTCCCCCTCTATAATATACACGCAATCTCGTGTGCACAACAACCATACAACCAAATATTTGGGTCCCCCTCGAATTTGTTACCAATTTCCAACAGGTACGCACAATATATAACAATCTCAATTCCAATAGTCAACCACTGCATCGCACCCCATAACCATACAGAACGGTATAACAGCACATGCAATCAGCATATCGCGATCACACGCGCACATTTAAGCACAATAGCAAGCAGATCTGCAGGCAACCAACACACCATTAATCCTGTCGTAACTTTGCAGCAACAACACAATTATTCTCTCTCTTGCAACAATCGCATCGCACACAGCACCTCGCAGCACAATACACCAAAAAAAGATATTTTTTTTTTTCCAATTAAGCCCATCGCACAAGGTAACCCACAAATAATACAGCGCAAGATACCCGACGCTCCCAAGTTAATAATTAACTTCACCATCAAGATAAGAACTCCACGCAGCAGCGCACACACACAATTTGACACTCAGCAAATACAGCAGACTCTCCGTCCATTCTCAACACACGCACACACTTATATTGACACCAAGCAACAAGCAGATAGCGCGTTCATCGTTATTACACACACATACACAGTCCGAACCGCGCTCCGCACAATCGAGTCATAAGAGAAAACCAAATAGCCCCCCCGGCCCTCGAAAGATGAGTGAGGTGTGTGTTAAGGCCGGGTGCGTATCGTTATGACTCGCCCGGGGCTGCAGCAAGAAGAGGACGGCAGGGTGGCAACTTGAGACGCCTCGCAGAACTCGTTCGGCGACTTGACGGCTCCCGTTGTCACGCACCCGAGCCAGGACGGAAGCTCCCGCCCCAGCAGCTGCAGCATCGCGTCTTCTCCTCGCAGCACCCCCTCGAAAAACAGCAGCTCACAGCAGGCTGCTCACCCCGCGGCACCTCCAGATGGCAGCGCAAGGCTGCCTCTCCGCCGCGATGTTGAAGATGGCGGCGTCCTCCCGCCGCGGTGAAGACAAGATGGCGGCTTCCCGCCGTTTCTCCCCTGCCACGCCCAAGATGGCGTCTTCGTGCCACGTGGCAATGGCGCTGGCAGCGCAGGAAAGGCAGAGGCCTGCGGATCACCACCGGGCCTCCCCGACGTCGTCCTCGGCGTGGTGAACTCACACAGTCGCGCCAGCACGATTTCCAAGGTCCCCATCTGCATCACCATCTGTCTCCATCGTAAGTTGGCATCCTCCGGCACAGACAGGTCCACCGACGCGGCGACACCTTGCTCACCCGGACCCGTACTCGTTCCAGAACGGATCTCCTCTTCCATCGCAGGCAGGTCCACTGTCTGAGGAAGGTCGTCGTCGTCGGATGATGTAGCAGGAATATTATATATTTTTTTTCTTTCTCTCAGTTGTTTTGAGATGCCGTTTCACTTCTGACTCCAGTGTAATAAAAGGGACTCAGACGCTTCTCGCTGACTCCGTGTCCTTTATTTGGGGTTCGCGTTTTCCTTCCCACACGGCACTCCTCCTGAGACTCTCTCCCTGGCAGCCCCACATCTGCCTTCGCTCCCGTAGCCTTCCACGCTCCTGCAGTTCCGCTGCAGGCTCTTGGCACAGCCCTCTGGCTGCTCCCCCAGCAGCTCCATCGCTGCTCCCTGTTCCTCCGTGCGTGGCGATCTCGCCACCTCCCAATGTCAGCCCTTCGTGGCTCTATGGCTATCTCGCCATTTCCTACCTCAGCCCTTCGTGGCCTCTGTGGCTATCTCGCCACTTCCTACCTCAGCCCTTCGTGGCCTCTGTGGCTATCTCGCCATCTCCAACCTCAATCCTCCACTCTCCCTTCCACCCCGCTGGCTGCGCCGTCATGAGCCCCTCAGCCACCAGGCTGAGGCACGGCGACCACCCAACGTGTTCACCACCCTTCACTCCCCCCGACTCCCCCGACTGACCCAGATAGCTTCCTGTCTCCCCGCGCTATAACTTCTCCCCCACGTCACCCTGACTCCCTCCCTCTCGGATCGTCCATATCCGCCCCGCCCATTTACGCCCGCATTACACATGGACTGACACGCACACTTG